CTACTGGTGCATGGGGTTATTCCTCCCTATATGCAGGATCCTACACTTGCCCTTGTTGAATTTCATCAGGTTCCTCTCTGCCCAGCTCTCCAGCCTGTCCAGGTCTCACTGATTGGCAGCGCAGCCTTCTGATGTATCAGCCACTCCTCCCAATTTTGTATCGTCAGCAAACTTGCTGAGGGTACACTCTGTTCTTTCAAGTTGTTGATGAATAGACTGAACAAGACCAGACCCAGATCTGACCCCTGGGGAACACCGCTAGCTACAGGTCTCCAACCAGACTCTGTGCTGTTGATCACGACCCTCTGGGCTCTGCCATTCAGCCAGTTCTCAATCCACCTCACTGTCCACTCATCTAGCCCACCCCTCCTGAGCTTACCTATGAGGATGTTCTGGGAGCCAGTGTCAAAAGCCTTGCTGAAGTCAAGGTAGACAATATGCACTCCTCTCCCCTCATCTACCCAGCCAGTCATGCCATCGTAGAAGGCTATCAGATTGGTCAAGCATGACTTCCCTTGGGTGATTCCATGTTGACAACTACTGATAACCTTTTTTTTCTCCAACTGCCTAGACATGACATCCAGAATGAACTGTTCCGTCATTTTTCCAGGGATAGAGGTGAGGCTGACTGGCCTGTAGTTCCCTCGGTCCCCCTTCTTGCCCTTTTTTGAAGACTGGAGTGACATTGACTTTCCTCCTTGTTTGCGGAGAGCTGTCCATTGTGTCTCCCAGGATTGTCCCTGGGCCTAGGCAAAGCAGGCAGTTGCTTAGGACAGGAGGCTGCCAGTAGTAACAAAGCAGCTCCCAGCCACTTCTGATGCGGGAGCCTTCAAAAGCCATGCTGTGTGCCAAATGTCTGGGCTGCATGCTTGGACCTCGTCCTTGACTAGTAGCTCTTCCCCTTTTCTCTCAGCAGCAGCAGCAGGAGTTGTAAGGTCAGCTCTCCATCTTAGTCTGGGGCCTTGCCATGGCAGAAGAATTCAGCCTTGCTTTTATGACCAGGAAGCTTGTAGCCTGCTCTCCCATTCCGTCTCTCCTTGGCCTTCTGCACTCACCCTTCTCTCTGCTCATTCCGGTTGTGATCAGATCCTTCCGAGTACAGAAAGTACCACAAGTACCTGGTGTCCCAGTACTGTTAAATATGCTGCTCAAGCCTCAAGCTTTCTCTGCATTTCTGAGACAAGTTTAAAACCCATTGCATTCTGGCTAGGTAAGTGGTGGCACGCTCATACTTGCTGATTTTAAAATCTGGTTTTGGCTCTTCAGTTACCTTGTAGGAGAAGAGCTCTGGGTGGTCATGGAGTACTTGGCAGGAGGCTCCCTAACAGATGTTGTGACAGAGACCTGCATGGACGAAGGACAAATCGCAGCTGTGTGCCGAGAGGTAAAGCAGCACTGGCGCTCGGAGGGAGCTGTGATTGGGAAGGGGACACGGGCTTTCCATGCCTGTCACTGCCTCCACAGGAGTAGCTGTCTCCAGCTTCTGTAATGCAACAGTCATTCTTTCAGAGGATGGATTTCATCTGGGAGGTTGCAGCATACAATCCTAATGCAAGCCTTAATATGTTTCACCTTAAAGGGAGGACTGCAGTGCAAAATGGGATTGGAATCCCCTTGTTTATGCTTGTTTTCCAGGTCTTTTGGAACTAACTTGTCCTGCTGATCCCAGTGGGATATCTCTCTGTAGCCCTGCACATACTGAATATATGAAAATCTCAAAGACACTGAGCCCTTGCTACTCAAAATGCATGTTGTTAGAGTCCCTTAGTTGGCTAATTGTGACTGGTGAATAATTTCATGCACAGTAAGACTATCTCAATTTTATTAATTTTTTTTTTCCAGTGTCTCCAAGCTCTGGAATTCCTCCATTCAAACCAAGTTATTCACAGAGATATCAAGAGTGACAACATCCTGCTGGGAATGGATGGCTCTGTCAAACTAAGTATGCGGGGAACATTGCTGATGATGACTTGAATTAGCTGCCCAGGCCTACTGTCTGCTCTGGGCCAGGCCTGTTAGGGAGATGGGTGTTTGAGATGCTTGATGCTGTGGTGATGAAGAGGCTGTAGAAATGCTCCTGTAGGTATTTTTGTGCCGTCGGTTTTAATGGAGATTGGCAATCAAAAAACCTTGTGAACTGACACTAGACTCGAAGTGAAGTTTGGGGTTCATTTAGCTTTGGACCATCTGTTTTTGTGGACTAAAATAAGAGTGTTTTAATGCTACTTCAGTCTAGAAAGCTGGGTTTGAAGGTGTAGGGCCAGAAGTCTTTATTTGTGAGCAATCTCTTCAGTCTGGAAAATATTGCAAGTACTTGTGGGGCAGGGGGAGTAGAAGGAGAATTGAAAACTGCGTAACTAGAAAACATTTAACCTTACAACACCAACCCCGACTGGACTCTAAATGTTATTTTCTCCTCGTGTTATCACCAGTAATGAAGACCTTGGGACTGTTCTGCCCCTCGGGTGCTAAGGCAGCTGTTGTGCTTGTTGTTGCCTCTGCAGGGATGAGTCTGGAAACCAGTGAATGATTATCTTCCATCTATAACTTTAACAGAATTATGCTCCTTTTATCTTCCTCTCAGTTCTGTTGGCTAGCACCCAACAGGCATAAATAAATCTATTTTTGTCAGCAGTGACAGCAGATATGACTCAAAATTCACACCATGCAGATATGCTGAGTAAGAAGGTGGGGTTTTTTTTTTTGCACATAATTACTTTTTAGACTAAAACTGTACTTTGGTACAGTCAGATCTCTGGAGTGTTAGCCACGAATAACTGATCGGGGCCAAAGTACTGTGTTCATGTGGAATAACTTCTCTGAGCACAGTATGCAGGTACCGGGTTGTAGTTTAAAGTTAGAGAAGTCCCTGTAGCTACGATGCAGTAACCTTCTGGACCTGAACTGCTTATTGGCTCTGCTGGAAATTTGCTCTGTTTATGAACCATATGTACCTTTCCTGGTCGTCACCCTTGATGAAAACTCAGCTAGGGATCAGTTTAATTTTCATCATTCTGCCTAAAATTAGACCAGCAGTGCCATAGGGGGTCAGGATGGGCAGTGCATCTTGCTGTGTTGATTCTGCTGGGCTCGCAAGAGCAGAATTAATTTTCTTTTGGTAAGTCAAATACAAATAAGGCATAGGACCCAGTAATCTTTGTGTGAAGGCTCTCCATCTTTCTGTCTATTCAAACAAAATAATCAGTATAAATTTAGGTACTTCAAAGTCAACAGTTTGCTCTGTAAAGCAAATCCCGTTTGAGGGATGATATATCTACTAGGGAAGTAATATCGCTGGGACTGAAAATATCACCAGACAATACAGTATGTGGGTTGGGGGGGTGTGCCTAGATCACACTGTGCATTAATTTCTATTTTCACTGATCCAGGAACAGTCCTTAGACCATATATTACATAACCTATTACCGCTGCATAAAACTGCACACATAGTCAAGTGTCTCAACATCCACACACGGTTATTTACTGATCCACATCATTCACACAGACAAGTCAACAGCTCTGTAATCCTCATGGCCTCAGTGACTCAGATTTAGAAACTTACCCCTCCACACCGTCTTTTCTATTAGCCACAAAACCATGTCTCCTTTCACAGTTGCAGGAGCAACACACCAGACGAGGCAGCAGGGTAACGTGTACTACAACTCTGGCATCAGTCAGCATTGGTTTTGGAGAAACTTGCTGATTTCTGTGTCTCTTTCTTCCCTCTCAACTCTTTAATTTTCCAGCTGACTTCGGCTTCTGTGCCCAGATCACTCCTGAGCAGAGCAAACGCAGCACCATGGTGGGGACCCCGTACTGGATGGCACCTGAAGTGGTGACGCGGAAAGCGTATGGGCCCAAAGTGGATATCTGGTCACTGGGGATAATGGCCATCGAGATGATCGAAGGAGAGCCCCCCTACCTCAATGAGAACCCCCTGAGAGTAAGCGAATTATCTTTTGCCCCAGGGTCTCTGCTAAGCCTGCTGGTGAAACTGGGCTCTAAAGGCAGAAGGTGAATCCTCCAGTGCGGTTTCACTATCTGCAGCCCCGTATCTCCTCAGATGGCATTGTGAGAAGATTGAGATAGTTTTAACTAAAAGCCATAGTTTGCTCTAGTTAGCAGAGGTGTGGGTTCCTCCTGTGTGGACCCTCTAGTCAGCTCTGAGTTAGATCATGCACACTCATAATTTCCCCACTTTCTGGAGATGCTGATAGAGGCAGGGAGAGTACTTGATGGCACCAAAGCAGCCGACCTCTTGAATCTTTGTGCCCTGTGAGTGGGGAAGAGTTCTCCTTAAGTTCAAAAATATGGCACATTACTATTTTATAAACGGAGCTTTTTCCTACTGGGAGATTGTTTCTCCTTACATGCTCCAAATAAAGCTACAAGCTTAATAAACCTTTAGACAGGGCTTAAGCCTCCTGATGTCTTTCCCTTGTTTAGTTTTTAATGAAAATGGAGATGCTGTAAGTTTGTAGGGACGTAACTGCTCTTAGTATAAGCCAGGTTTATGGCTTCTCCCTCAGCTACGCAGGATGAGGGGATCTAGAAAAATTCTGTTTGACTTTTGTCTCTATCTCTTGCTTTGGAAGTGATTTTTTTTGGGAGAGAAGAGCAGCAGCAAAGAAGAGTGAAAGGAAAGAACCTGGGTATTGAGTTAAAGAAGAGTGGCTAAGTAACAGTACTTTGGCCTCATTTAACTCAACTTGTGCCAATTCCCGGGCTATCAGACTGCTCCCGTGGGATGTGCCAATTGATGTGCTCAAAGGGCCTGCATATTAACAAGTCTCTGACAGATTTCCATTTCCTTTGAAATCCATCCTGGAAGTTTCTTTCATGAAATCCTGAAATGGATGAATTCTGAGTCCCTTGATTCTCAGAGCAGGGATGTGTATGAATGCTTCATCCCCAAACAGTAGCAAAACTGCTTGTTTCTGCAGGATGTTAAAAGCTGCTTGAGGGTCTGCTGGACATCTTTTGTAAGGAGCCAACTGCATCTTTATTGTGTTGACTTTTTAGGCCTTGTGCACTCAGGCAAAGTACTAACAGAAAAACATCCCCTATTTATTCAGGGGTGCCTTCCCATGAGGATATAGTTATTGCAGGAGTCTAGCACTGGTAGAGTTATGCCAGTTAACTTCCCTGTGTAAACATGGTCTGGAATGTTGTTTTTGTCCTCCTAATCCCTTGAGAGGACTGCAGGATCCAAACCCAGATTACGAGGGTAAAACAATAAAGGGTTGGATCCCATCCACATAAAAATAAGGCTGGCAGTTATTCTGTTTGCTGAAACTTAAGCATTGATTAGTCACCCTGATAAGGTGGGTTTTTTTTCCTCCTCACTGAACTGAGGGAAGGGAGAGAAGAAATGGGTGTCTCTCTAATCCAGAGATGGAATCTAACCTTCGTAACCTCATGTTTCTTTGGTGCTTGTTTTTGCTTTAGGCCCTGTATCTCATTGCTACTAATGGGACTCCAGAACTGCAGAATCCGGAAAAGCTTTCACCCATATTCCGAGATTTCTTAAATCGTTGTCTTGAAATGGATGTGGAAAAGAGAGGTTCTGCAAAAGAGCTGCTACAGGTAGGTGATGGGGAACAGGGCTGAATCAATGTAGTCATACAATCCCGAGTGAGGCCAGGCTTATGGTGGGATCTTGTTTGGGCTCATAAATACTGCTTCAACTGAAGGCACAAGCACAGCTAAGGTAACTTGTCAGAAAAAAGAAAAAAAAACAAACAGCCCCATAATCTAAATCTATAATAACATGTTAACAGACTGCTCCCTTTTTATGTTGTACTTGCTACTGGCAGCAGCTGTGCAGTGTGTTCTGTAACCAACCTGAAGTAATAGCTGTGCCTCAGGCTCTTTAATTCCTGTGGCTTCTTCACACAACTGGCCATGACATCTATATTTGTTGTCATGGTCTTGCCATGCTTGTTTTGATTTGGGCAGCAGGAGGGCTTCCTGAAATCGGATGTTCTGCTTGTCTCCCTTCTGGTGGAGGGATCACAAAGCTCTGGAATACGTGTGGCTTGCATTCATTGGAGCAGTTTGGCATTACCACATTTTACCAGATACTACTCCTTACAGAAGTGATGGAACAAAGCTTGTGAGATATCTTAATCGTAGAAGAGTTTGGGTTGGAAGGGACCTTAAAGCTCATCCAGTTCCAACCCCCCTGCCCTGGGCAGGGACACCTTCCACCAGACCAGGCTGCTCAAAGCCCCATCCAGCCTGGCCTTGGACACTTCCAGGGATGGGGCAGCCACAGCTTCTCTGAGCAACCCCTGCCAGTGCCTCACCACGCTATCATCGGTTATTTCACTGAAAACCTGATGTTTTAGTCTGAACTGCTGGTGAAACGGGAGGGCCAAGCTGCCAGGCTTTTTACTGACGTGGATGAGAGGAGTGGTTCACATGTTCCTTCTGTCAAATTTGCCATGGGACTGGTAAATGTAGCTCTTTGAGTGCCCTTGATCACCCATTTATTTTACAGACTCCAACTGTGAGACAATTCCTGTTCTTGTTTTCCTTTCTTTCCACTAGTTTGTCTAGTGGATTCAGTTTTGGATGCATTGCTGCCTTCTGAGACTGTAATGAAGCATTAATTCCTGGCAGAATGGCAGTAGTTGAAAGATCACTTTTTCTCCTGGACTTTCCAATCCCAAAATATCAGAGTGCAGTGATGTTCTGTTCCGTGGAGCAGGAGAACATTTTGACTGTAACATTTTGGCCTGTTTTTAACTACCTTGTAGCCTCTGATCTTTATTTAATTTTATCTTTTTTTCCCCATCTCTGAAGCATGTTGCCTTGGGTGATTGATCCCTTCTGATGCTCAGAAGCACTGTGGAATATAGTTGCTTTTTGTTTTCAGAACAGCTTGCGGACTTGTTTTACATGCCTTCGCACTCATCTGAGAGCTGTTTTGATAATTGATATTGTTTTATTTAACAGAGCAGCTTGTATAAGAGACTGAACGGTCAGTGCCTTGTGTTTGAACTGCACAGGTTGTTTTTAGTACGCCTTCCTTCCACACAGAATTTCACTATAGATTTTGCAAGACTTTATAATTCCCCAGGGGAATTCGCTGAGTGTTGCTTGGTCTTGAACATGTACAAACATTGGAGAATTTAGCATGTGTTGGGTGCAAATCTAGTCACCACTTCAGGCAAGTCCCAAAAGCTTGTGATGGTAACAGACCTTTTGGTTTCACCTGTTCAGAGATTAGAGTAGGTTTTTCGACTTCATGTGGGTCTAGGTACCAGTATTTTGAATAGCCACCAGATTTCTGGGGCATGTTCTGAAAAATCTAATCCTTTTTCTTTTTGCTTCTTCCTAGCACCAGTTCCTGAAAATTGCAAAGCCTCTGTCTAGTCTCACTCCTCTCATTATTGCAGCTAAAGAGGCAGCCAAGAACAACCATTAAAGTGGTGGAGTCAACACAGTTGTTGTGTCAAGACTTTTAGATGTTCATGTCAGAGGCTGAATTACCTGCCCCTCTCCCCTTCTGCTCCTTCTCCACAAGGGGGGTGTTAAAACCTTGGTCTGCCCTGAAGGGTGGCAGAGGTATTGTTCGCCGAATGTGGAAGGGCACCCAACAGGGACACTGCTGATCTTACACAGTGAACTGTCGTTCCATCTTCATGATGGGGGCAAGAGGGGAAGAGTGTTTTATATGATTGAGAAGATCTTTCTGAGAACGCCTGAACTTGACCTACACGTAGCAAAGCCAGTTTGTTTTCATATTTCTTAACCGTGTTTATTTTTTAAAATAATGTGGAGCCTTAGACCATGTTTATCTTAATAAATTAAATCTTTTGCTGGCTGGACTTTTCCTGCTTCTGCCAAGCTGCTATTACACCACTGAGGCTGCTCTGTGCTTTGGATGACTTGAGGAGGGAAAGAAGCAGGCAGCAGAAATGTGAACAGCTGTAACAACTGAAAGGGAAACGAGGGCGTGAATACGCATCCCTCCTACTGCACTGCTGGATGCTTCGAGGGAGCATGGAGAAAGCCTCTGTGTGCTTCCTGCAGCCACTGGAGAACTTAATTCATGGATGATCTTTTTGCCAAATTGTGTGAATTGGGGGCCTCCCTCGCCCTTTAGCTTCAACTCAACTAGTTAAACAAATCTCAGACATTTCTGATATTCTAGAAGGTAAATCACAGGAAAAATTGATGAAGAGCTCTTTTAGCATTATTTTATCAGCACTGTGAGGCTTCGTAGAGACCCTTGCCCTGTATGATAAAGCAAACAGAGCAATTACTGTTATAAAGATAAGATTTGCCTGCAAAATGATGTTGAGAAAACTTGTTTCTTAGAGCAAGTCCAATGGTAAACAAACTGATCATGGATGCTGCTTTCTTCGAGAAGTGGGGACGTTAATTTTTTTTAAATGATAGTGGTTTCTTTATGCTACTGATTCCTTTGGTTGCTAATAGTCTGTAAAACAACAGGAAACCTGGAACTACTCGAGGGGCTGGTTGTAAACACTGGGCTTATGTTCAACTGTATACTGATTTTTTTTTTTTTTTTTAATAAAATGACTGCTGCATTTCTTAACTTGGGGCTGAGGGGAGGACTGGAGAATTCAGTCACCAGACGAGTCTGTTGATTTGGGTGATTGTTTGTATCATCACTGACTGCTTGAATGTGTTGGATGAAGTAATATAACCTTGCCTCTTACCCTTCTCCTGTAGTCCTTTGGGATAGCAAGTGGCTTTCAAGGGAGTAACTTTGCACACAGAGAAAATGGGTAAAAGGCTGTGTTATAACTGAGGGAACTGCTTTCTCTATGCTGCTTTGGTCATTTATGGGGTGACTTTAAACTTATTCTGGAATAACCTCTCACTTGCATTGCACAGAAACTCATTCC